TTCGCTCCTTTCCTACTTCCCATTCTTTTAACAGTTAATGTCCTTTGATCATTTACTGATTCATCCCCAAATCCTCCCACAAGTGTATTGAACTTCTCACAATACTTTTAAGTACTTTTGGTATTTAATTAATTTTATCTTGGAAGCGTCTCAGAACTCTCTGACTTTCTCCAATGAGAACTTCTTTATCTTTGGGGCTGGCTTCATAGAAATTCATCCATAGACCTTTCTTCAAGCATCATTCTGGAAATGCTCTTCACTTCTCTCATGTCTTGTTTGTATCAGTCTTCCTCTGTCTTGGCTTAGTCTCTTGTTTTTATGTCATCTCTTCCTGAGGAAGATTGTGTGGGAGGTACATTTTTGCAATTCTGTACGTGCAAAAATGTCCCGTGATACCCTGACACTTGATTGTCAGTTGGGCTGGGTATGGATTCCTACTTTGGAAATTGTTTTCTCAGCATTTTTATCTTACTGCTCCTCTTTCTTTTAGCTTCCAGTGTTGTTGACAAATGCCATTGCGATTGGTAATCTCTTATGTGTTGTCATTTTCTCCCTTCTTCTCTGGAAGCTTGTTGTACCCCCTCTTTTCCCCAGTATTATGGAATTCCATGATGCATACCTTTAGTAAATCGATATTTATCCTTTGTGGGCTCTTCCAGTCTGGAAGCTCCTGTCTTTCCGTGATGGAAAACTGTAGGTTATTTCTTTGATCTCCCCTCTCCATTTTCTTTCTGAAACTTTTGTTATTCAGATGTTAGAGTTGCTGGTTTAGTCCTCTGATAGCGTCTCTTTAGTTTGACCTTGTCATTTTGCTCTACCTTTGGGGAGATTTCCTTAACTTTATATTGACAGATACAGAAGCAGTGGTGTACCTGGCCTGAGGCCGTGGAGGGATTTCACCTCTGGCCCCAGCAGCCGCTGGGGTTTCTGGAATGACCTGGACCGGGGCGTCAGGACTTGCCCTGCACTTTACACTCCTCCTGCCCTGTCCCAGTTCTTTTCCTTGTTGACAGTCTCAGTGCCATTAACAACTGTGCGTTAGGCTAGACTGGAAGAAGGAAAATCAAGTGAAACTCCAACGTGTCTCATCCTGTTAGTCAGTCGTATCTATGATGAGGTGTAGTTCAGAAGGGAAGGAAGAGAAGAGGCTGAAATTGCTGGCTCAAGTTGTGTTTCTTCAAATCACATGTCTTTGTCCTCCCCTCTTAAAAATTACCGTGAGTCATTAGGAATTGACTCTGTAAATAAGCACATGGAAGTGGGAAAAGCTTCGGAAAGACTAGTTTAGTCCTTCACCCCGCTCCAGTGCAGTAACTGGATTCATTCTGGGATGCGCTGATGTCTCGGTAGTTACTGTATTCGTTTCCTGTGGCTGCTATAACAAGTTAGCACAAACTGGGTGGTTTAAAACAACAGAAATCTATTCTCTCATAGTTCCAGAGGCCAGAAATCTGAAATCAGTTTCATCGAGCCTAAATCCAGCCTGTTGGATATTCTAGCAGAGTCTATTCCTTGCCTCCTCCCCCTTCCCGTGGCTGCCGGTATCCCTTGAGTTGTGGCCCTGCTACTCCAGTCTCTGCCGCCCTGGGCATGGTATCTCCTCTCCTGTGTGTGCAGTCTCCCTCGGCCTCTCCCTCAGGACACTTCTGATGACATTTAGCTCCCACCTGTATAATCCAGGATAATCTCCCTATCACAGAATTCTTAATTTAGTAATGTCTGCAAAGCCCCTTTCCTCAAATAAGTTAACATGTACAGGTTCCAGAGTTTAGAATCTTTGGGTGGCCGTTATTCAGCCTGCCATAGTTAACATTGTCGCCTTCCCTCCCCACCTGTTTTTGGTCTAATAGTAAAAATGCGGGTGACAGATTCGTTTATGCTACTGTTGTTTGAGTTTTCGTTTCTCATAACCCAATACAATTTCTAACCAATCCATCTTCCAAAAATCAAAGTGTGGACTTTTTCCTGATGTCTCTGGAGGTGGACATTTTGGGACTGGAACGGCAGCTGCACGGCAGTCATGCGGGACCCAGGCTTCTTAGGGTGTCCTGTCGCTCTGTGGTCACGCTGCTGCTGCATCTCCGACAGCACCGCTGGGTTTGAAGCAGGAAGCAGGGAAATGGCAAAGAGTAGAAAATGGGTATCAGATGAACCTACCTGTTTTCTAAGCTTTCCAGAAGCCCCACCCACAACTGGGTTTAACCTTTTGTTGTCCAGACTAGGTCACATGGCCACCTATATGATCAAGGAGGCCGGGAATGCTTTTAGCTGGGTGCCTTCCAACTCCAATTGTAGTAGGACTGTGTTGGTGTGAAGGAACGGGGAGGATGGCCATGGAGCGTGCAGTTTGCAGTCTGTTCCAGAAGGTAATAATGAAAACAGTTTGCATTTCCATCTGCAACTAGAAAAAATTTTTGCGTATGTGATCACATTAATCTGCATTTATTCTCCAACATATATTGAGGACCTCTGCCATGCCAGGCATGGTGACAAGTATTGGGGCGTCAGTGCCTCTCATATATGTGCTAGACATCCTCTTAGTTGCTTTTGTATATGTTATTTATGTTGTCTCATTTAATCTGTGTTCTCCAGGAGATAACATCACATTATAGGTGGTATCAATCTCACTTAGTAGGTGAGACAGCCGAGAATTCATGAGAGTGGTTATTGTCATCATTTCCTAGATTTGAAGAGAGAATTTTAGAAGTTATAGTGGTGTAGGTAACCTGTGGTAGAGCTTAATCAGACCCGTGCTTTCTAGCTCCACATTTGGTGCCAACTTGATGCTTTGAATGTGTGTGCGCACGCGCGCGCTCACGCACACACACACACACACACACACACACACACATACACACACACACACAGTGAGGCAGTGAGAAAGCATGGCTTTTGGTCAGGTGATCCTGGGTTGGAGTCCTGGTTTTGGTTCTGTTCTGGTAGACAGATTTCTTAGCTTGTCTGTACTTAAGTTTTGTCATTTGTACTGTGGGAAAAATGCCATCTGCCTTCTTGCGAGAGTTTTCGCGAGGGTTAAATGAGATGGTGCAGATACTCAGTAAATGGTAACTGTCACAGTTATTGTCATTGTTGTCTTCATCGTTACGGTTCGACGCTGCCTTTCCTCTCCTGTTCTGTGTGGGTGTGGTGATGCTGAAGAACTCACTCACTCCCATTTTAGTTATTGGGACTGTCACTCACTATCCTCGTCTCCTGGCAGAATCATAGATAAGTATCTGTTTTTCTGCCAGTTTCTTATGACTACGGGGCGGGGGAGGAACTGATCTTTTTGCCAGGTTGACAACAGGTACAAACTCTGTTTTATCTCCTGTATTCATTTTCTAGAGTTGCCATAACAAATCACCACAAACTTGGTGGCATAAAACAGCACAAATTTACTATCTTCTAATTCTGTAGGTCAGAAGTCTCACAAGGGTCTCGGCAAAAATCAGATGTTGAGAGGTTTGGGCTCCTCTCCGGATGGAGGGGAGAATCCATTTCCTTGTCCTCTTCACGTTTGAGAGGCTGCCACGTTCCTTGGCTTGTGACCAGCTCCCTCCATCTTTAAGGCCAGCGCCTCTCTGACCCTGTTTCTGTCCTGACATCATTCTCTGACTCACGCTTCTGCCTCCCTCCACTGTTTAAGGACCCTTGTGATTACCTTGGTGAGCATCTCACAGTCGGCTGATGAGCAGCCCTAAGCCCCCTCTGTCATGGAGTCTATTCACAGATGCCACAGGTTCTTCCTAAGGCTGGGGACATGGACACCTTTGCGAGGCCATTGTTCTGCCTGCTGCACTTCCCATCCTCCACAGAAGACTGAGCTCAGTTTTAGCTTCAAAACTGAAAAATCTTTAATATTGTGGATACCTTTTTATACGTCTGGAGTTTATTCAGGTTGTAGATTGTTGTAGGAAGGAATAGGCATGCCCTGGGTTTTCTTGACTTCACTGTTGCAGGCCGTGGAGGATACAAGGAGACTAAAGGGAACGTAGTGAGGATCCTGGTGCAGGAGGGAGAAACTGACCCTCAGGGGCCCTTGAGCAAACCTTTAGGGAACAAACACAGCCGTAGTGTCATTGCTGTATTGTGGTTTGATTGCTGCATAATCCTAGGGATCTTTTTCCCTCTTTCCTTCTTAGCTTTTCTCTTGTCCATGTCTCGTTTTATGTCTGGAAAGAAAACGTTTGTAGGAATTTGTAGATTTTTCTTAATATTTTTTAAGGATTTATTTGAGTAACTTTGAACTGTTCGAAGAAGAGATTATAAAAATCAAAGCATAAGTAAGATCTGTGTTCAGTTGAATTATTTTTCTAATTTATTACTTGAATTCTTTACTTGACCTCAGTTTATTCCTTCAATTCATTTTCCCAGTTTGTTACTTCTTAGCAGTGTCTGAAATATGTTACGTGACCATATTTTCCAAAATGAAAGGTCATCTTTTTAGTTACTCATTCTGATCAACCAGGTACTTACTGAAACCCTACCACGTGCCAAGCACTCTGGCTCTGGGCAAATGTGGTAAACTTCATGTAGTCCTCCCTCAGCCAGCTTACAGCTTTAGGGCTGTCGGCATGTGGTAAACATAGCAGCTGCTCAGATGGATGATATGATTTTAGTGTGTGTGTGACTGATTGGGAATCTAACTACTGCAAAAATGTTCTTTGTGATTTTTTTTCCAGTGTATGATTGATTAATTGGGTAATGGCTCTTTTCAAATACTTAAATAATTTGGTGACATAAAATTGAAATATAACTATGACTATTTAACATGTAGGGTTCCTGGTTAATTTGAAGTGAAACTTAGATTAATGACTTTTTGAAGTGAAATTTTGAATAGGCCTAATTTCTTAAGCTTTTCCTAAATATTTAATTTGAACAGTAACAGATTTAGGCTTTTGCAAATAAAATTTCCAATAATTATTTCTTATATACAGCATTTCTTAAAATGTTTCTAATTAAGGAAGGCCTGACATTCATTTTCTTTTTTGTTCTTTTAGGAATGTTTTAAGGGAAGTTGGGCTACTCACAAGTTACTACATAAGAAAGCAAGTAAGTGAAATCACATATTTTTATATCATTTGTCTTAGATGTGGCTTTTGTGCCGGAAACCAAGAATTCTTCAAGTTCTGAAAGTGTATATGTGACTGTTCTGAAAGTATAATCCTGAAAGCTAGAATTATGATGTATTTTTAATTGTGATCTACAGTCATATAAATAAAATGTGGCTGAATAACGTCTTTGTTAATCTTGTGTCGCATATTTAACATGGACACGTAGGTAGCTGTTGCAACACGTGGATCTTGCTTGAGCAATACCTGGCCGCGCCCTTACCTTTGGCACCCTCTTGTCTTTGCTAGAAGTGGTTGGGTGTCGTAGGCTGGGCACCCGTGAGTTACTTGGTTTCGTTTAGCCAGATCCCTTTTGCTTTCGTTTAGCTTCAATTTATATTGCTTTTTCTACTCCAAATTATATTACTTTGTTTTTTGGTGTTTTAATGTTATTACCCTACCATCTAATCTTTAATTTTCTTTTTTGGAGTTATTGTGTGTGTGACATGACAAAGTAAAACTTTTGGTTGCTGCTTAGTATTGCCGTCAGTCACACTAATGTAGCTGCGATTCACTTAGCCTTTCCTGCTCCACCTAATTCGTCCCGTAAATTCATGTCATCAGTGTGCCTTGTTTAAGTCAGCTTGGAAATTGACAAGAGCTTTCTGTTCTTGTAGCATTGCCGTCCTGATGGAGGGGGGCTTGGCAGACAGCACAGGGCTCTTAGTGTGACGTTTGATCTTGGTATCTTGTATTCATCTACTTGTGTATTTTTTTAGGTGTTAGCTGATTTAATGAGGTTTTACAGATCGTTTTTACCAAAACAAATCTAATTGAGGTCAGCCAAACCACCATTTGAAGGAAAAGGAAATAAAAATTTTAAAAAGGTATATTTTCGTGGCTGCGTAAAGTGATATCTACATTTAATCGAAGTGCTAGGCTACTGCGGCAGGAAATGTGGTCGGGGGGAAAGTGATACGAATAAGTGTAAATTTATCAAAGCGTAAAAGACAGGATTTGTTGATTTTGATTTGTTGCCTCAAATCAAAGTGTAGAGATGGGTTTAAATGATGCCATTTGACTTTATTCACTCACACATTACATCCTGTATTTATAACGTCTTAGGCGTTTTTCAGAGCTCTTTGAGCCATTTATTAGCATTTTATGCCCAGGAACGTAAAGCGTCCGGAAGTACAAAGGGTTGAGGTTAAACAGTATGTTAGTGAAAGAGCTTAGAATGGGCCTTTTCCTCAGGTTTGCTAACTCACTGAAGTGTCCTGTTCATTTCATACTTGATGTCTAAGGGCAGAGCTCTTTCATTTTGACCTACCCTGCAAGGGAATTAAATAGCAGGTGTTTCCTGTGTAAAAAGAACACAATTATCACAACACTGGACTTAGGCTATTTGGCTTTTACTTATACCTCTAGTACTTCTTGTACATGGTGCCCCCTTGGATCTTTTGGGGTGATTTTCGGCAGTGGGTGAGCCTCATGTTCTTAATCCCTATGGGCTGTGTTGGAGAGAGAGCCCCCAGCTGGCCAGCACTGTGTCTTTCACACCCTAATAAATTGACCCCACATACACGTTGTCAGTCCTAGAGGAGGGGGTGGTGCGGGGAAGGGTGATCTCCAGAGCCAGGAAGAAAGAGTATGGGGAAAGGCACTGGGGAAAAGGAATGTTGGGCTAGGAGGGAACCAGGGCATCTTAGAAGTCAGGATTTTATCCCAGGAAACAATAGTGAGATAACATCTAGCAAGCAGTTCTTGTCGTGAAGATGATACATTGAGGCTGTTTCAAGTGTAATGTGTACTAATCTCTGATAAGAGTGCCTGATTGACATCTATATGTTCTTGTGGGATATTGGTCTATAATTGGCTTTTAGTATCATTGACTGGTTATGGTATTGGAGCAGTTCTGGTTTCGTGAAATAAAATAAGCAATATTTCCTCTTCTGTTTTCTGGAAGAGATTGTGTGGAACTGGTATTATTTCTTTCTTAAATGTTTGGTAGAGTTCACCAGTGCCACATCTGGATCTGGAGTTTTCTAGATTGAAGAAGCTTAATTTTTTGTGTAGGCCATAGGGAATTTTCAAGCGTGAGTTAAATAAATGACTCAAGGGCAGAAAACCAATCAGACTGTAAATCCCTTAATTAAAATGAAAAGCACATATGCTGATTCTTGGGTGCAAAGTGTACTTAGGTGGCATTTACTTTTAGTCTGATCTATATAAGTTGTAGTACTTCACATCTCTAGACTGTATTATTCTACACTTTTGTATTTATCGCTGATATATTGTTTGTTTTTTTGTGTGTCTCATTTTCCTGAAGTAAAAGGTGGAAGAATTTGATAGATATCTTTTGAATAACCAAAAATACGATAAAATCTCCATTTAATATAAGAACTCCAAAGAATACTTTTTCTTCTACGCCCCTAGCCCTCCACATGAATGTGCTTGAGAATGTTATGTAATGTTTCAGAACTGGCTCCACCAAGCTCTGTGACCATGGACTGCTCTAAGCCTCCCCTCCAAAATGCTGAAATCATAGGTTCGTTGTGAGGATTAAATAAGCAAATCCATGTAAAGTGCTTAGCGTGTGTACCGTGCATCGTAAGTGCTCAACAACTGTTTAATTACCATCTCTGGAAGAACTGAGTCAGAATTTTGACTAGAAACTCCTGTCCCAGGCAGAGCTTAGACAGGTGCAGTTATTTGCATCACCTGACGAGAGGAGGCAGCTGCGTAGAACCTTTTGAAGAGTAAAGCCTGGACGTGTCGTGTACTCGGGGCCAGAACTCGCAGGTATCAGGTGCTCATTGACACAGCCTGCATCTTACCTGGGCCCCTGTTGCATTGTGATGTTTGAAAGCTTATGGGTGTGTATTTACACTAACCTGCGCTTTCACAGCCTTTTAGAAAAGACCAGTTATCATGCAGTTTTGCTACCAGCTTCAGCTCAGTTCCGATTAGATGACTTACGTGTATGGCACTTAAGGCTCAGATCAGATTGATCCTAAAATGTAACCGAACTTACTTTTTAAGTGTGTATTTCCACAAGTAAATTATATCTAGAGATTAGAAAAGAACTTGTCATATTTCAACCTTACCTAGATAGCTTTTGGGCTATGTTATAGTACTTGTCTACTTGCCATTCTCTTTTGAATACAGATTGTGGACAGGTAGGAATTCAGATCAATAGGAAGCCTTGAAAGATTTTACACCCTTTCCTGCTCCCTCCCCAGGAGTGTGTTAAAGTGAAAAACCTGCATCTTGATTGCTAGTCTGTCCTGGGTTTCAGGAGAAAATTATCCTTGAGGTTCATGTTTTGGACAGAATCACTTAATGCAGTTCATATCTGAAGCAGGCTGAGGTGGCCTCCATTTTGAACTATTTTCTGTTATGTTTGACCCTAGTGGCAATGATGGAGCCCATTTTTGCCCTGTGATGAGAAACAGTTTTCCTATTGATGCTAAAATTCACAGTGGCTTTCTTGAACTCCAGAGAGGAGAAAGATATTTAAACTTCAGTAGCATACCTTCTTTTCTATCCTTCACTTTATGTGTAATAGTATAAATGTGTTCTCCTCCAAAGTAATGTGAAGGGATTTTCTATCTTGTTGCATTCTCATCAGTTGTACCTCAAGGGCTCTTCCATCCAGAGTTTGGCCACGTGCTCTGAGGAGGGAGTCTTGGACTGGGGACTGGCGTTCTTGTATCACTGCCTGCTGCCTCAGTTTCCTCTTCTGTAAGATAAGGAAGTTAGCCTAGATTGTCTTTAAGAGTCT